CATCCATCCATCCATCCATCCATCCATCCATCCATCCATCCATCCATTCGTTCACTCATCCATCAGACTGGGAGGCTTTCCCAGCTCAGCATTTTTATACATAAATGTACAGCATTTTCTTTTTTCTTTGCAAAATTTGGTTGAACATTATGCTACAGTGAGAAAGGGAATCACAGTGAACAATGCATCATCAGGTAGTATTTACATTCTCCACCTACAGAATTCAATTTGTTTTAACAGTGCAAGTTTGTGTTTTCTGTACGGACGAGAGCCAACTGCTCGCAGCTCTCAGACTTTACTGTGTCTTCTTTTAGGCTTTTTAACAACAAAAGTGCTTTTATGGTTGCATTGGTCCTCTTCATATAAACAGTACGTCCACTTTGCTGCTTTTACTGTTGCTCTTCTTGAAACCATATGTTCATGATTGTCTCATCATTGTACGAGTTCCATTCATGTTTTGGACTGCCGCACATCTGACCACTCCATTTTGGTGTTTTGAAGAGCCTGTGTCTTCTTCTCGTCCACTTGGACATAGTCTACTCTGTATTCATCAGACAGAAATGGCTTCTGCTAGACGGAGAGAGGAAAAGAGCAGGAGGTGATCATCACATGAGGTAAAATGTCCACCTCAAACAATTGCTTTGCATTAAATGCTTTAAAACGGTTAATTACTACAAGTTCAGTGTTGACTTTTTTATTTCAATGTGCAACATATCGTAAATACATTTGTGTCTGTTATTTTGTCTCACATAGCACACCTTCTGCACGGGGGAGGGGGACGCAGAGTTGAAATCCAGTGACAAATAGTCCAGATTCGAGCTTCTTGCAAATGGTTGAACCGTTCCATCGGGGGTGAGACAGAATGGTTGTCTTTGATCCTGACCATGAAAAAAAAAAGAAGCATAAATGTTCCTTCTCCAAATCAAAACGATCCGAAATACTCAAGGACATACTGAGCAAAAAGTCTCCTTGAATCATATCAAACATCGAAATTACAACAAGCCCAACCAGAAATAGGAAAGTATTTTGGTGTATATGCATAGCTTACAACTCAGGGACTTAGCTTGAAACGCTAAACCAAGGGGCTCAAATACTCATGCACAAACTCATAGAGACAGCTAGCTCTGTTTTTGACCCTGTTGCTATCTGCATGAAAAGCTAAAACCAACAACTACACGTCCTTCGTGCAACACAGTAATTAAACAAGAGATTATCTTCAGTCAGAGGCTTCTTCAGCCCCACTTGGTAATTATTACTCTTTCTTTACCTTGTTATTGTCTATTCACTATCTGTACCACTACAATCAACAATCTTTTTTGTTGTCAAATAGATCAAACTCTGTTTAACTATTCAATTAAACTAAGGCATGATTTAAATGCATAGAATCCATAATTAATAGATTTTTGATCAAATGAATACATAGAATTTTTTCTTGTTTTTGTTATGGTTCTAAAAACAAAAAATACTTAGAATTGTATGCACTAAAATGCACATCAAAAGGTATCAATAGTATTTTTAACTGGGTCAGTCTGTTTGTTAGAACATTTCTTTAACCTAGATTTTACCAGTGCAGAGAAGATTGTCACTTCCTCTCTTGAACTGTCACCACTATCAAGTCCTCTGTCAACAGATAAGTTGGTCACCGAAAAGCTGCAATCACACAACAAATAAAAGGTTTTAGTTCATATAAGTAACATGCAAAAAAAAACAAATATAACCCTGTTAATGTATTATAAAGATCATAAGATCTCACCATGTCTCTGTCAGTGATCGGCTCAAATGGAGATGAGTGGGACATTCTGTGATTGTAGAAAGTCCTCTCAAGTCAAGGGGTGGGGGTCGTGCTTTGAATTGAGAAAGGTTAAAGTTAATGGCTGTAATTCGGTAACCGAGCTGGGAAAGATCTTTTCAAAGACTGCACTGATCGTGTTTCCAGTAAATTTACTTCACTTGCGTGAATAGTTGACCTACATGTTGAGGTTAAGTACATTGTATCTACAGCTCGCAAGCTTTCTAAAAAAAAAAAAAAAAAAATTGATGGTCTCAAACCAAGTGTGAAACTCGAGCTTGGGTTTACCACATTTAACATGACCCATTTAGACCCGGCATGACTCACCTCTCCTCAGGCGAGGTTTGAGGTGCCTGTGAATTGGAGGTGGTGCAAAATCTCCAGGTTGACACATTAGTGGGCTGAAAGCCGAGGAAGACTCCGCGCTGCTGTTTTTGCCGAGGAAGCTGAACGTTCCGGGGCTCATGGGGATGTAACCATCACACTCGATGGTCGTAGCCGAGGGAGACGGAGAAGCCATGGAGACATATGACTCATCCTGATAGCTTTGAACTTGTACGGTATTCAAACAAGGCTGCAAAAAGGACAAACCCACATGAGATCAGACAGTTGTGGCAATGCGTAGATAAGATAAATAAAGTTTTTGATGGGGGGGACCTTTTAATTAATAATCCCTGTCTGTGATTATAATAGTCAAAGCCAACAGTAACCTTCTAGTGATACCAAGAATTTGAAGAAAATGCAATTGCTCTTGCCTGTCTGAAGCTAGAAAAAAAAGCTTATTACCTTAGTTTAAAGCAAGAAACCATACAGGTACAGCTAGTCGGGCTTTGCTTTAGGGAAAATCATTCGGGATTTTACACACATATTTCTTGGCTGCATACATAGATTTTTTTTGTAACTCTAAGTGACTAGGAAACATATCATGCTGTATAATAAATTAAAATGTGATGAGTGGGTGATATTATCTAATTTGGACAAAGCAGGCCTTTGTGCTAAATGTAGATAATCTAAGACTTATATTCAAGCTGCCCCCTTTCTTGTAAGGATAAGAGTGTGGGGTATAGCCTATGCTCTCATCTTAACCCATGGCCATAGCGCTGAATGTCAAAACTGAAACAATGAAAACTTGTTTGCTCCTCTTACCAAGTTAACACTTTGCCTCCTGATCACCAATCTGTGGTCGGTACTTCCTACACAGAAGATTCAAATGACAAAAAAACAGTTAAAAGAAATTGCATCTGGTGTAGACCTGAATCCATTTGTGGTGATTTAATATACAAACAACATCGCATGTACGTCACATGTGTATTGACTATTTACCCATTCTGAAGTGGTCCAAGCCCGACAAAGAAGTCCTCCGGGGAAATAAGGGAGCGCTGGCGGGGAAGTGCTGTACGCTCATCGCCCTCGTACCGAGCTGCTCCGACAGGTGATTGGGCTTTGGCGGCAGCGGGGGGGGAGTCTGCGTTTCCCCCATCGCGTCGAACGAAGAGGAGGAGTAAGGCCTGTCGAACTGGAAGACGTTGGCGGCGCAGTGGAGCAGCGGGGAGGAGGAGGAGGAGGGGAGAACGGTGAAGGAGCACGGGGCGCTGAAGGGGGGGTTGGTGGGTCTCCCGTTGGGGAAGAGACGAGGACTGTGGCTTGCGTGGGAGATGGAGGACGGGGAAGATTCGGTACGGATATCCTTTACGGCATCGTCTGACGACCTCAGCTCCAGAGAAATGTCCGAGGTTGAGAAGCTGTCATTTCTAGAGATAAGTGTTGAAAAGATTTTGTTCAACATGAACGACTAGTAGAGTTCTAACTTGTCTCTAAGGCTTAACGGGTTGAACGTACCTACTGGTACTGATACTACCCGTCTCACACTGCGAAAGGAAGAGGTAGTCTTGTGGATAAGACGCATCTGGTTGGCTTGCCACAGACACCCGGTCAGATATATCCGGGGATGGCTGCATGGAGGTGGGGGTGAGGGGAAAGCCGTCCTCCGAACTCTCTGGTGAGCACAAGCAGAGAGAAACACACACAGCCCAGTTTACGAAAAATGCCAACGCCAGACGGGATCGTTGTGTGCGAGCCATGCAAACAATCATGTTTTCATTTAAGGGACACTGACAGCAGACGCACAAGTATCCCTCTTCCCTCTTTGGTTTACATATTCCGTCTCCCTTTTTTGTCTGTTTGGCCCTCTTTCAGAAATTTGTTTCATTCCATTTCACTCAAGGCCTTCGAATCAAGGCCGTCCCTGCAGAGCCATGTGTTGCAGAAGGAAGGGGGAAAAAAAGCTCAAAGTCTTTGCATGTTCTCAGGAAACATTTGCTATCCTTAATAGATGTTTCCGTTCCCTTGTGGGGTACAAAAACAACCTTTTAGATTCTTTGAAAAAAGTCCTAAAGTGATGTCTGACACAGTTGGGAGATCTGCTGGAAGCGCCCGCCGTCCTCTCGTCAACTCGGAAAGTCACAATAAGCTACAGAACCGGTCTCTGCGTGTCATGTGGCATCGGATTTTACAAAACAACTGTCTATGCGCATCTGTTTGTGCGCGCACAGGTCATGTCGTATCAGTGGCTCTGTGCCGTTACTCTATCTCAGTCATGCAGACGACAAATTTCCAACAGACTCGACTTCAAACCTCCTCAGAAAGCATCTTTTTTTTATGCTTTCACTTGTACAGCAGCATTACCGTAACAGTATATGCTAAAACACAAGGGCTAATCTAAGAACTAAAACCAGTAAACGAAAAGAAAAGGACATTTAGATAAATCTAAACTGAATCACGCAAAGGGAAATGTCACTGAAATATCATTAATCGGCTTTAAATTTCCCGGCATATCTGCCGTTATCTCCTCAGACATTAAAGTTCATGGAGGGGGGTAGCGTGTGGAACGTTTTAACTGTTGGAAACATCTTCTTTTACAGAGGCAACTTTCGACTGCTGATAACGCATGAGGCCACGTTTAGTCTTTCAGTGATTACACCCCGCGCTCGGCTTCACTCTGAATTCTTCTCCACTCCGGAGCAAAGTGGAAAAAGCACACAACAGCCTTCAAATCCAAATACGTCATGATTATTTTTACCTTTTTGAACAAAAGGGTTAGAAAAAAAAAAAAACCTGCTGCTGCTGCTGCTGTGGAAAGATGTTCAGATAATGTGGTTTCAGCCACAATTTGATGATGTGTTGCTGTGTGAGTGGGTGTGGCATTCCAGCTACAGCAGACTTTCTGAAAGTTGCCGGGGGGGGGGGGGGGGGTTCTGTAAAAAAGTTCATCGCGGGGGCCCCGTTGGGGGGGGGGGGGAACCACAGTTTGGTAACCAAAATTTGACTCGCCTTTTGTGTTTTCACTGAAAGCTGCAGAGCACCAACCAAATAGCTCAACAAAAACTTAAAGTCTGCCACTTCCTGTGGCAGGAATGACGAATACCTCTTCTTTAAGACCAGGTTCTTATTGTCTTTTCCAACAAAGGCAGATGCTTTTTATTTAAAAACAAAATTCTCGTCAAACTTAGCTTGAACGATAACCGAATCTCACACTGAAAAGGAGCTCTATTTGTGTAACTACCTGCCTCCTCCAGGGTCCCAAAATGGCAAATCTGGCTGATGCTGCTGATCCAGCCGTTCATCTCCTCCTCCGTTTTGGCCACCAGGTAGAAGACGCGAGACGAGGTCTTCACCACGAACAGGTGCTTCCCGTGGAAGTCCCGCTTTATCCGCAGCTGCCCGTCCAGCATCTCCACCTCGCACTCCTTCAGGTCGATGGTGCGGATGGGCTTTTTGGAGTTCTTGCTCTGGTAGTATTCCAGCACGTCGGGGTTCCCGCTCATGCGACCCCGTCGGAGCACAAACCAGCGCTTCCGCCATGCCTGAAGGGGAAAGAAACACAGTTTTTGTACGCGGATTCACACAGTTTGAACTCTCATCGGATTATTGTACTGTGATTTCAGGGGAAAACTTGAAGCGGCTCCGTTTTCCTTCGAATGCCTCCATCTCACTATTCATAACCAGGCAGCAAAATGAGATCACAGCTCCACCTTCGACCAGTTCGCTTTGGCACTTTAAATACAGTTTCTTTTGCTTTTGTTTTGGTCAATAAGCGGAACCTCGACTCCAGTTTCCCAGAAGTATAGAGAAGAGGAAGTTCACTGTATTTAGCAGAAAATGTTTAACACAAAGACACAGTATTGATACTTTTTTAGTCACTGTTTTATAATTACAACTTCAGCAATCCTGAACTGGAAGTTATGCCTGTATTCTCCCTGCTTTAGGGCCTGAAGTTTACCATAACAGCATTAAGCCATGGTTTTAAAAAGCAATAGCATGATTTAATAGTTTCAAGAGAACCTGTTGTCATTTCACATTTGCATTTATGGCTTTGAGTGGATTCCAGGGGAGGAGCCTCTCTTGATCTTTATTTCCAAGATGTTTCTTTTTGCTGGATGATGATGAACCCCCTGCACCAGCATGTCAGTAATTTATGTGTTCTTATCAGGAAAAATGGTTCAACACACCACACTTGCTGCTAATAACACCGACAGGTTTAGAAGGAAACCATAACTACAGATGTCATTTGATCCAAAGCATGCAAAATTTGAGCCCTCGGTAAAAAAAGAATGTTTTTTCTATATTAAGAAACATCCGTGACAAGCAGCAAGTAAATGCAAAATCTGTGTCTCTTTCATATTTTGCTCTTGGAAAGATAAAAACAAGATTAAAATTGGTGATAACATCGAGGCTCAGGTATTCTCTTTTAAGTAAAATGGATGTGTCCGGGTTTTTAGGCAAGTTAACTGCTGACTCTGGGTTTCAAAACTGAAGTCAAACTGTCTATATTGAAAAAAATCAACGACGATGCACTCTAATGATTCCTCAAAAATATGTCTACGTTTTTTTTTTTTTTTTACAGAGCTTTAGGTCACATGTTATAGTCACTCTTATTAAGTGTCAACTGCTTTTCTTCCACCATGTGACCAAAGTTAACTCCGGTCAGATAATAATGTGCTGTCAGCGGAGGTGACAGCTGAGCTGTTTTTAACCTAGCCATTTTAGATTTCCAGAAAATTACTCACTCATGAATGGTAACACTTCTTTTTTCTGGGTTCCAATTTAACTCTTATGAATATCACAGGTATTACCAAAGCAGAGATAGAGATGCTAAATGTTTATTTCCTGTATTGTCTACTTTAATCGCCACAAAAGACATCAGACAGTCCAGTTTGCTCTGAGTTTAACAAAATATGTATTTATGCAAGGTGTTTTGAACACTTACATATTGTTTTTTTTTGGCCGTGTCAGGGCAAGTACTATCTTAACCAAGATAAATCAAATTTTCATAATGTGGGATGTCAGTATCATGTCAGTAACATTTGAATGAGGCAAACAGCGTCTCTTTCAAACCCTGAGAAAAACATAATCAGCACGATTTGCATAGCACGCCAGAATAAGTTTCTATTTCCAGCCCTAACCCCTAACCCCATCAGCCCACACATGTACACCCTTTTCCTCGCACTGCTGTTGACAAATGGCCCAAAACCTCCTTCAGTCATACAGGGGAAGTGCACACGGCTATCACAGAGCTGGACTTTTTTTCTGCTTGTCGCTTAAGTGTCTGACTCCCGCTAGCATTTACTTCCCATGTTTCACAATCCACACGCTCGCCACTCAAACACAAACACACAAAGCAGCCTTACATTATCACATGACCCCCAACAACCACCAAAAACAGTGAGAACTGGATGCCGTTCAAATAAACACAACATACATACGCTCTTGCTCCTATGGATCGTATCCAAGTCCCACCACAAATAGTTATTTCTTGACATTATTATCTAACACATTTTTTTTTTTGCTATGATTATCAAGTCCTGCCACCCAAATGAGGAACATGATATGAAGAGGATTGAATTGAGGCTCAGTTGAAAAAAAAATAAGAGCATTTACAAGTCAGTATGTCTCTAAATCCCCATTCCACATCACAAAAAAAAACAACAACACAAGGCTGAGCACCACAACCGTGCGTTCCACCTCCTGACAGAGGACAAAAGACAAGAGTGTCCGACGCGCGCTCCTATACTCACAAATCTCTTTAGTTTTTTCTCCGGGGGGGATTTAATGAGCCAGCCGGTGCAGACCACATCCCCGGCGCTCATCTCGACTGCAGAGCGTGTCGTCCTCACTCTGCCTCTGCTGCTGTTCCTCCTCCTCCTGCTGCTGCTGCTGCTGCTGTGAAACTGAGAGCACTGTGCAGCATATCCTGTGTTCTGGTATTCAGCTCAGCCACTCCAAAAAGGAGGAAGTAAAGCAACCGATCACACTGACAGCGAGACACAGAGCAGAGGAGGGGAGGAGGGGGGGGGGAAGAGAGGAAGAGACAGAGAGAGAATTATGCGTTATGTTATGCTGGATGGAGCAGATGTGTGTGGGGAAGTTAATGAAGAGGTAATTACGGCACGTAATGTGGTTCGAGAGATTTAAGGGGGGGGGAACTCACTGCCCTGGCAACGTGAAATGTGGTGGCCGTACCAGATAGCGTTATGAGGTCTAGATGCAAAAAAAAGACCCACGTCGGGTTCAGTTCTGTTGTTGACATGTTACACGGTGGTTGGATTTCATCTGGCGGTTTGTGAGCTACACAGAAATAAGAAGTGGTTTTTACTGTTCAAAACATCAACCAGCTTCTCCATTTGGCCTTAAGAGATCGGCTGAATTGATTATGAAAGTGTGGGATTTAGGATTTGTTGTTAATTGTTAATAATATATATTACATTTTTAAAAGTGGATAAATACAGATTTAAGAGTTTAATAACGACAGACAATTTTCTGGTGATTTTATCATTTCACTGTCTGTATATTTAACTGTCCAGGAAGTGTGTAGGAAGTATGGGGGCTTTGCTGCCAAGGGTTATTCTGGACAAAGGACCTGCGATGTTGAATATACCGGAGCCATTCTGTTGTCTGTGTGCAGCACCCTCTAAAGGCCCTCCTGCAACTGACCTTCTACATCCACGCGATTTGTTTCTTCAGTTCCTCCGGTAGAGAGACATCTCCTGCCTGAGCTCACAGGCAGGAGATGGCTGGTTGTCCAGCATCTGCTCGTCTGGCTGGATCTTGAAATCTCACAGGATGTCTCTGGTGTTTCTCAGAAAGATTTCTAACCCACACTCAGAACAGATGTTCCCGTACGCCAACCCAGCCACTCGAATCTGACTTTTATGGTGTGTTGTTCCAGCTCATTTCCAGATATATTTTTATACACTTTTGGGGATATCTTTGCAAAAGCTGGCACTCTGGGCCTTGTTGGTTTGCCCCCTCTTTGGATCTGTGGCTTAAGGCCTGTTCTTTTGCAGCCATGATCAGATTAGAAGAATGAATGTAATCAGTTCTTCTGTCTTTAGATGAGACATGGCGATCACCTCTGTCATCTGGAGTCTGAAGCACACTGTCTAATAACAGACTTCTCTATTTTCAGAATGACGTAGCCTGGTTCTCCATCGAATTGACCCATTTTACAGGGAGCCCAAATTTGCTGATCCGTTTTGGAGATGCATAGAAGTGATTTTAACTGAATCTTTCTCATTCCGGTATCTGTTCACATATGCAAGAGGCTTAGATTTGGTCCCAGTAGCTTAACTGGTATCCGTTTTTGTGCTTTGGGCCTGTTTGTCTGTGGTCGATCTACCACCAATGTCATCATGACTCCCTCTGGTCGTGTCATATTCAGGTTCCTCCAGTTGACTTCTCCACTGCGATCCGGTTTTCTGTAAACCAATTGTCTCTCCTTCCTCTCCATTATAAAGCCTGAATAACACCCCTGTAGTCTCTGCAGTAGAAACATGTGATTCTGACCAATGAGATGTTGCATTGCTCCGTCTTGGAACAAAGATTTGTGATGAGCTCAGTTGCTGTCCTCATGGCACTGAGTCATCGCTTATTTTGTTGTCAACGTTCAGGTTTGTTTGACTGCTCTCAGAGTCCAGGGAAGTTTCTCGTACGACCAGTAGCTGATGTCTTGATCAACTGGGGTGGTTTCTTGTGAAACTTCCTTAATAATCGAAACACATACACAGCTTGGTTACCATGTCAAGTAGCTTTTATGTTGTGGAGAGGCAGGGTAATTTAATTAAATGGTGATGCATTTTCATGAGGATCCTCCTGTGAGTGTATGTTGTTAGCCTTGTGCCATCTCTTTTCAGGTGACCTATAGTTTCTTTAGCAAGTGGAACAAGATCATCAAGTTTCTTGTAGTAATTTCCTGCGTTTGTTCCTACAGCCTCTGTTTCAGTGATGCTTACTGGTTTTCCCTTTGGAAATATTTATGTTTTACCTAAACTCTGCAAAAAAAAAAATTCTCTAATGAAAAGCAAATAGCTTTCCCCCCTGTTCTTTGACTTAAAAAAATAAACAACTAGTTTTAAACCTGCATTCTGGAGATGAATGCAGGCAACATTGTGTCTTTCCAAATGTCTCCATCAACCACCAGTGGGCGACAACGAGACCCAATTTAAATCATGACTCAGTGAAAAAGCATTTAAACATTGTGTTCAAAATTATAACACACCTACACACACTATAGACATATAAAACACCAGCCATCATCATGTACTAGTATTTGCTACTTGTATAATGGTTTAAACACTTTTAATACATTATTTATGATAATGTATTAAATATAGTTATATATATATATATATATGTGTGTGTGTGTGTGTGTGTGTGTGTGTGTGTGCACATCCATTAAGATTGACCGTTCTTCTCTTTTCATCCTCATGAATCTCCGTTATCTTCTCTAACAAGGCTTCCTGGTAAAACCGTGCATGTGAAAATGTTGCATAACAAACTGCGGGGGGCAGCAGCGCACAGCCGCAGCTTTGATGTGCACAAATGTCTAGAACAAGAAGACCTCACCAAAGAGCCTCTTAAGCAAGAGATAAACCTGACTACCAGCTGTTAGTAACGGCAAAGAAACAGGATTTGTGTCTTAAATCACTTAATGTTAATTTATTCATCCAAACGTTTGCTCTAGGTCTTTTGTGTCTGTCATAAAACAAGCAGTAATGTATAGATAATATTAAGCGGGGCTTAATTTTAACGGATTCACACGTTCGTTGCTGCTATAACCGTTAGCACCGACGCCATCTTTGATTCGAGGGCCGGTCTTCACACCGAAATACTCTCTGCAATTACCCATCAATCCCCTGCAACGTATGACCTGTCTCTGGCCTTGGCGTGTTGTGTGTGGAGCTGCTAGTTGTCAGTGGGCTGCCGGCCGGCTGTTTGAGTCGATAAACTGTAGCTTTTCTGCCCGACTTGTCGGCTCGTACTCTGGGAACTGCTGCAACAGAGCGGAGCCACAATGCTGAAATGTAGGACCGTATGGAAAAAGCTTGCACCTCTTGCTAGAGCCTCGTCAACCGTGTGCCGGCAAAATGTGAGAAGAGCAGGTAAGTTCGCGAACCAGTTACCTGTTCGGCTTCCCGCTAACTGGCCTCCACACATGCAATGTTTAAATATTTTTGTGCTTAATATGACCCTAAACCATTTGCTGCACAGTCTCGTTAGCGCGCCTCACTTGGACCAGCCCGACCTTTGCGTTCATATCGGAGGCTAACTTGCTAGTTAGCAAACGTTGACGTTGCCTAAGAGACATTTCCTTTAGGGAAATGTCTGCATCACATTTAACTGTAATGCAGGACGATGGGAATCCAAGCAGGGGTCATCTCTAATGCACACACATCTCATAAGTCAATACTGGTCTGCAGTGTGTTTGGTATTGCACCATTCCCTCTAAGACTTTCTCATATCTATTTTTTTGTATCACATATGTGACTTTTAAGGGATACATGCAGGCTCAAAATAATCCCTCTATGTACTTTGCACAATTTTATTTTATTTTTTTTACCAAAGGGGATGTGGTTCATTAAAAAGACTGTTAAGTAAAAGCATGTGTATGAGAGGGTACTATTTTTAATCATCCTCTTTAACTAGCACAGGGGCCTCTGTGGTACCAGTATGTCACTAGAGTGTGCTGTTCCCATCACTCAAATATGTTTTTCATTCAAATACTGCTCAAGACTTTAAGCAAGTCTTTCATTTGTTGTGATATTTCTAAATTTGTTACGGATGTAAACGCATATGAGTAACCTATAGCTCTGAAAAACACCCTGCGCTCAGTCTTTTCTGCACCTCTTTGTGAACAAATGGATTTATTAGTGGTTGTTGTCTGAGTAGAGTTAAGGAACATCACTGCAAATGTTGCCGCTTCAATCTGTGAATCTGTTTTTTTTTTTCCAGGGCTGAACAATGGCAGAATACCAGCGTGTGTGCCAGCGGCTCACATGTCCTCCGGGCCCGGGGGGGGCGGTGGGGACAACCTAAAGTACGCCCTCCTGGTGGGAGCTACCTGCGTCGGTGGCCTCGCATATGTGAGTAAACTCTCAGCTCCAGTTGAGATACTCTGATCAAAAGTGGTTTCATTACAGGCTCCTAAATGCCTATGTGGCTTATTCTTCGTTGCATCTGGTCACATTGCAAAATACTAACTACATGTTGGATAAAAATCTACAAAACGGTGTTAACAATGTTTTATGTTAGGTCTAATCCAAAAGGCTCCCGTTTATTCTTATCATAGCTTACATATGATGGTTAACACTGGATTTGTGTGAGCAGATTTGGTCATTTTTGTGACCTGGTAACTCCCTCTAATCTTTGTTTTGGGATTTTTACAGGGTATTTTAACTGTGAAGGGAGACCAGAAACGATTTGAAGAGCGAATTGCAGAACTTGAATCCAGACCACACAGAGCAGCTACAAAAGCTACAGCCACAGAGATTCAGTCAGAAGCCCCTGGTGAGCTCTGTTTTTTCTTTAAAATTATATCAGACCTTTTGTCTGTAAGCTGATCTCAGGTCTGCATAGGAATGTTAACATAGCCATTTATGTGTTTTTGTGTTTTAGCTGCAGAAACAGCTGAGGCTGAGGGTGAGTGATTTAATTTTTCATGGAGATTATGGAGGTGATGTTTTTTTCTAACTACAGGTCACATACCGACCATGCTTATGGGAAGTTGTTAAACTTGGTAAAAGGATTTGACAGCAACACATGGGCCTAAAACCTTGGTGCCACATGCTTTAAAGAATTAAGTATTAACACATCTTGAAAGATGTGTGTTTTCAAACCTGACTTTGAGATTATTTGGTCGGAAAACAGATTTTGAATCGGCCAAATTCATAGTCACACGGTTCATCTTCTTCCTTACTCCCATGTAAACTAAAGACTTAGTGGGTTCAGTGACCATCATTGTTGATAAGTTGGATGTCTTTTTATTTTTCTAATCCTGATCTTTGCTCTTTCAGCCGTCCCTGAGGCCACGCCTTCCCCAGAGGAGCCCAGCGCCCCCCCAGAAGCAGCAGCAGCCCCGGCCGAAACGGCAGAATCACCGCCAGGTTAGTTGCATGCATCTTTTTAAAAGAGAAATATTACTGACACATGCATGCTTTAACATGCATCCTGTACATAAGCTGTTTTCACACACAAGCTATAGAGGTTTCCTGGTGAACAGCTTGGTCTGGAGGGTTTAAAATGTGGTTGTTCACGGCTGGAGGTGTGATAGCATTGATGATAGCATTGAAAGTGCATTTTTGTTTTGGTAAGACCAGTGCACAGTGTACGTGCATCCTCTGAACATTTAGACACTCATGCATGTGTGTGAGAACAGCTTTTGTATTCGATTAAGAAACCGTCATAGCATATTAACTTCTGTCCCCTTGTCTGTGGTTTTGAAGGCAGTTTACATGTACTAAATGGAGACACCCCCCCTCTGGTAGTCAGGGGGCTACCAAAAAGGAGGGGTGGGGAGCATGGTGTAAAACAATTAAGTTAAAAAGCTCAGTTTTATGTTGATGACACGTTTATTACCCCCTGGATGTTGTAAACTTGAGTCTCGTCTGAGTTTGGTCTGGGTCCAGATTCTTCACTGCATGAACCAAAATGCTTCCTCTGCGTTTGCATGTGTTTGTTTTTCTCTTTAACACCATAAACAAACTCTTCACAGTTTCGCTGCAGCCTCTGGAAACTGACATCGACCCTTCTCTTGTCTCGTGTCTCGTAGTCTGAAGCTGTCCGTGTTTTTCCAAGTATGTCGGCTCACTTGCCGTCATATTTGTTTGAAGAAACCGAGTCTCTGACATTTTCTGGAAATGGTCATTTATCCTGTTAACAGTGTTGTTGAAGGGGGTCGACATGTTTTACGACACAGGCTTTGTTGTAGAACTGGAAGCTGCCTGTTTATGTGGAATAAAGTGATTGGAATATCTTCACAATCAGTTTTTTTGATGGATAAACGGAACAAAATCAAAACACCAGTGAACTGTAGCCACATGTTTGGCAGCTTCCAGTTGCTGTTATCTAGTTTGAATGCTCTTTGGAGAAGTTTAACGGGAGCAGCATGGATCCTGGTGATGTCCCCCTCTGTCATTTCCTCATAGAGTTTCATTTAAACTCATACTTTGGATTGCGTCAACAGCAGAGGAAGCTGTGATCGAAGCATCACCAGAAGAGGCAGCTCCCCCCGCTGCTGCTCCTGTAGTTGAGGAGGGTAAGACTGGCCGAGGGGCAGAGATTCTGTTCACCGTTCTTCCACTTTCCCATCTGAGTAGACTCAGACTATGGCTCAGCTGAAGATAAGATAAGGGCCTATTGAGATACAGAGCTTTTTATGTCAGTTTTCCACCTCGTTACCAGAACCTCCATCTCCCCCTGAGCCCCCCCCAGCAGAGCTCTCAGAGCCGGCCCCGGCTGTGGAGAGTGGTAAGCACTCGCTCAGCCCCTCCTGCATGGAAGCAGCCATGTTCCACCCGCCACATCTGAGGGCTTGTTTTGTCTTTGAGTCGTTAACGATCCGGTTATACTAACAGAACCCGCCGTGGCAGCAGAACCGCCCGCAGCAGAACCGCCCGAGCCTCAGCCCCAAGTCGAGGCTCTGAGTGGTAAGACTTCCATCCAGCCTCCGGTGGAAAGGGGGAGTGGGCAGACACCCCCTCCCGATTCTGATAATGTTAATGTCAAACACCTTCTTTCCTCTTTACAGTTGACACGTTCTCCTTACAGCCCTTCCACTGCCTGCTCGGCTCTTTTTCACATATTTTCCGGTTCTTATAATGATAGAGGTTAATCTCACCCACATAAACTTAATGTCGTTTGTTTACCAGGTCCGTTTGCTTCCAGCGTGTGTGTTTGTGTAAATCCTGGACAGGACTGAAATCAGTCACTGATTGTGTTTTTTTTTTTCTCGTCTCTCTGTACTTTGTCCTTCAAACCCCAGCGGACTCCACTCCCGCCTCCACTAAGGTGCCCACTCACGCCCCCTACCTCCTCATCGGTGGAGGTACAGCCTCTTTTGCTGCTGCCCGATCCATTCGAGCCAGAGACCCCGGTGCCAAGGTCAGCCGGAGCTCCTCATCCGTTCTCCTTCACCGTCCCTGTTGTTGGGTCTGAGTTTTTCATCTTTTCCCCCGTCAGGTACTGATTGTGACCGATGAGCCAAACCTGCCGTACATGAGGCCTCCTCTTTCCAAAGAGCTGTGGTTCTCCGATGATCACAGTGTGACGGAAACTCTGCGTTTCAAACAGTGGAATGGAAAAGAAAGGAGGTGTGTTTACAGTGTGTTTTTAGCTTATCTCAATTTTTCATTTTGGAAATACATTCTGTTCTGAACATCGCAGTGGATTTATGTCCCATTTTTGTCACTAGATGTTATCGTTCAGTGGTGGAAATCATGATGGTACTGATTTTTAGACTTTTAAAGTTCAGCAGATAGCATGGTAATGTTCTAGTGTGTAGTAGAATTTGTGTTGTATAAAGATTTGTAGTTATTTTGTACTTCTAAGACATACGGAGACCAATATATACAAGTCGAGAGGATTTTTGTTTTTTTGTTCCTTTTTTTTTTCTTTCTCTCAATAACAAGAAAACCGTTTTTCCTACAGCATCTACTTCCAGCCTCCATCATTCTATATTAATCCTGAAGATTTGGATAGTGCTGAAAATGGCGGGGTGGCTGTTCTTGCAAGCAAAAAGGTTGGTTCACTGTCCTTTCTTCATTTGTTTTTATCAGGTAATAGCGGCCTTTCAGTGGTATCTGAAAGTACCAGAATTCAGTCTTTCATTCCACATGTGACAACCTATTTGGACTGATTCATTGTTTAGACATAATTGCATATTTATTTCTCAGTAATGAAAAAAGGGTTTTACTAATCTAACCCATTTCAGGTGGTTCACATGGATGTGAGGGGGAACAAAGTAAAACTGGATGACGATACGGAGATTTCATACGACAAGTGTTTGATTGCTACCGGTAAGCAGCCCCTTATTTAGATCAAAGGGTTTGGTTACAGTCCACTGGAGTCTAATGTGGACTTTTTTTTATCCTCAGGCGGTATTCCACGAAATCTACAGGTCATCGAAAGAGCAGGAGAGGAAGTGAAGGACAGGACAACCTTGTTCCGCAAGGTCAGAGTTGAGCCACAAGGGGGCGCTAGCCCTGCTTCACTTTGGTTATGGCAGCCTTTGTAAAAAGTTAGAGCTTTATGACATTTCTAAAATCACATTTTAGAAATGTTTTTATTTAGTTAGTGCCTATTTCTAAATGTGAAGAGAGCCATTTCATATAAAAAAAGTAGAATTTGTTGTAGGAAAGATTTCAATTAGAATTATCTCACAGATTGAGGACTTCAAAGCCCTCGACAAGGTCTCAAGAAACATGAGTTCCATCACTATCGTGGGAGGTGGTTTCCTAGGCAGCGAGCTGGCCTGTGCGCTTGGAAGGAGAGGTAAAACTGCTCTCCGGGTTATTAGATTGATGGGAAGAAACACTTTGTAACAGGAGGAAGTTGTTTAAAAGCTTTCATTTCTCCTCCTCTTCCTCTTTTTAGCAACTGAGACTGGGCTGGAGGTGATCCAGATGTTCCCAGAGAAGGGAAACATGGGAAAGGTGCTGCCTGAGTATCTGAGCAACTGGACCACAGAAAAAGTCAAAAGAGGTTCAGCTTTCACTTTGTACAAACAATTAAACAGCCACAATCAAAGATATTTGATTATTTATCGCTTTATGTCTTCTTTCTTTTGTCCTGGCAGAGGGTGTAAAAGTCATCTCGGAGGCATTGGTGAAATCTGTTAGCTTCAAAGAAGATAAGCTAGAAATCCAGCTGAAGGACGGCCGATTGGTGCGTTCTAGTTTCCTCCAGTTTCAGTCTAACCCAGCGCGGGAAAGGTGCTTCCTGATATCTGGTTCTTCGTATCGCAGGTGAAAACCGATCACATTGTCGCCGCGGTTGGCCTGGAGCCGAACGTAGACCTCGCCAAGTCTGCAGGCCTGGAGGTGGACTCTGACTTCGGCGGCTATCGGGTCAACGCGGAGCTGCAAGCTCGGTCCAACATCTGGGTGGTGAGCTAACACATCTGCCTCAGGCTTCTTTAAAAGCGATTCCAAACTGTGAAAAAGAACTGAACTCAAATAAATGACAGGTTTGTTTAATGATGGGTTATGTAGGAGCTCATAATTAGCTGCTCCATTTCAGATGATAATGCATATTTTCAGCGCCCTCTTCAGGTTAAATGTAGGTTCAGACATATCACAGTACAGTCTTGTATTTAGTTCAATGATGAGTTCAAACACAGTCCAGGCCTAGTTTGAGTCCAAACCTCAATCCCCTCTTGTCTTTTTCAATCAGGCAGGAGATGCGGCGTGTTTCTACGACATCAGGCTGGGCCGCAGACGAGTGGAGCACCACGATCACGCCGTTGTCAGCGGGAGACTAGCAGGAGAGAACATGACGGGAGCCAGCAAACCCTACTGGCATCAGTCCATGTTCTGGTGCGTATTCCACCCTCTCCCCTTTGTAAGCCCAAATGTGCATTTTCTTGGATCTCTAATTCAAAAGCCTTTTCCAAATGAGACCTCAGGCTGCAAGCCACGAAAACGAGTTAGAAGTGGAAATGAGGGGGAGTATGTGGGATAGTAACATCCCGTCTGAATTGTTGATTGCTCTGGTTGCATTTGTAAGTAAGCGATGGGGCAGCATGTACAATTCAGTAAACGTCCCAGATGCAGTTCTTATACCATCCAGATGAACATGCATGATTGATTTGAAGTCTAAGATTGCATTAGATCTAAAATATTTAAAAAGCCCATAAAGGATAATAAAACCTAACAAGCAAGCAAGCAAGCAAATAAACCAGTAGAATAACAAAATCGAAGAAAAAAAAAATTAGAAGAAAATCCTAAATCCAGCCTTTTGGAATGACTAACATATCAGCTAAAACTTGATTTAATGAAGGGGAAAACCACGGCATGGTTTCTTGCTCCCACCTTCTGTGCGATTCTGTGCTCAGCCCCTTCGTCCACTTGAGCAGGCGTCCCTGGCCGGAGGAAACGTTTCCTCACGCCGCCCCGACTGACCCACATTTGTGTGTTCATGTCTTGCATCGCCCGCAGAGGAGGCAAAGGGATGTGCAGTCATAGACTTTCCACCAGCATGCCCAAAGTCATTTCTCATTCTGAGTGAGAAGTAAGCAACAAGGCGGGGGGGGTGGGGGTAGGGTTGTTTAAACTGGACCAGAGCAGCTCTGTAGGGATTTGAATGCGATCCCTGATGACAACTGCTCTGTGCCACAGCTAACCAGGTGGCAGCCTAAAGGTGGGAAACCGCATTATTGCCCCCCCACTTTGACAGTTCTGTCTGATAACATTGTGTCTTGGCCCCCATCGCTGTTGGTCTTCCTCTTCCTAAACCTGTTCCTATCACTCTGAATGCACCGAACAGCTTATCCGTGGTCAGTTTTTTCTGCTAATAGTTTTTGTGTTTTATTTTTAATTTTCTTTTTTTTTTAATTATCATTGGAAGTTTTTTTCTCAAAGATTTTCTTCTGACATGAAGTGTAATGTCAAAGGCTTGGGTTGTAGTCATAACCTGTAATTTTAGCATGCCTGCAACTGGCAAAAAGTCATTTAAAAATATTTCAAGCTCACAAAAAATTAACTTTATATATTTGTTAAAAATTAAACTACAATATGGAAAAAATGTGTTACCACTCAGATTTTAATAGATCTGAACTTCCCAACAAACCTGAACTTTCAACTTAATTTTTTATTATAGGTCTTATAATCTCTGACTTTAATACTTCAATTATTATGCATGTGTGTGTAATGTCACAATTTTTTATCTATTTAAAATATTAGTCACTATTTTATTTTGAATAAGATCAAAACTTGGAGGTTTCTTCAACATTTTCTTGCTGAAAATGCACTTTTAATTCCCCTGATCTTCAACCATAGCTGCGTTGGTACAGTCTCCAAAATCTTTGGCATTGTGTTTCTCTCCCCCTCAGCGTTGTGTTTAAAGCACTTACTGTCACTGTCCTAACCGCAGCAGACAGGAGTTAGAGGGAGCTGCTGCTCAGACGGTGGGAAACAGAAGGGGGGATGAATCCACATAAGCACAAGTCAAAGCAAAAAAAAAATCACAACCATTAAGAAGATGCTACATTTGGACTTTCTTGTGTTTTGACTTTATTCTCTTTTATTTCAAATCTCTTTAAAATCATGACTATACTTTATAATGTGTCTAACGCTCTTTTCGAAGCAAAACTTTTTTTCTTTTTTTTAAGAGAAATTCACATCTACTCAGTTTGAGTTAATATGTCATGATTTCATAAGCCGTTTCCATCGAGAAACCTGTAACCAGAAGTAACAGGTTACATTTGTACTGTGATAGTTTAGAAAAATCGCTGCTCACATAACTATAAAATTCAATATCTCAAACTCATATTCAGACATTACTAAGAGGGAAAGTAGAGGTGTTTGTCCAGGTCGAATCTATCTGTTAGATCTGGGGTGAATTCATACATTTGGTTTGGAGGTGACGGCTTTTCCTTCCTCTCAGGAGTGACCTGGGTCCTGACGTGGGCTACGAGGCCATCGGGATCGTGGACAGCAGCCTCCCGACCGTGGGCGTGTTCGCTAAAGCCACGTCCAAGGACACGCCCAAAGCTGCCACGGAGAAGTCAGGTGGGAGCCTCCACTTTCTGCCAAACAGAAGCGAACAAAGAGAGAAGGAAGCCCCCCTCCCCGTGTGTCTCTGTTTTCACAGCCAGTCGGTTTTGTGGAAGCTAAGCCGGCCGTGTGTTCATGCAGGCTAAGCAACACTCTTACATTAAACTCCCAACGGAACAGTTTGAAGAGACATACTGCTCGATTTCTAGATATAGATCATTTTTAATCTAATTACTTTAATGGCTTTTTCAGTCTGTTCACTAAGGGAAGCCCCACAGAAGGGGTTTTGAGTCACAAGTTGCCTTGGGCTCTTGGTTGTTAACGTTTAAAGTCAGATGCTCAAAAGGATCTAATCTTCCAGAATGACTAATTGTTCTTGCACTTTCTTTGATTTGAGTCACATCTGTCTAGGACTGGCATGAAAGTTGAGAAAAATGTTCATTATAAAATTGGCTACTTACACTCGAAATCATTCCTAATGCTAAGAGTGGCCTTCTTCCAGTACCCTGATGGGATTCAGGCAGGATCCCATCCCACTGTAGAATCAACACAAATGTGCCACTTCTGGTTCAGAGGCCTTTGTTTCTTGCGTGTAGCAACTCCCGGAATCATTTCTGCTCGTATTTAAAAGTTACAAAGATTAAAGTGGCACAAGCCACTTCATTGGTTATCCGCTCAAATCAAACTGTCACATCGGTTATTAAAACCGCCCCCCAGGGCAGCGGCTGACCATTAAAACGTTTCCATATGCCACTGCGTGCGCTTCCAGCTGCATACCCTCACAGACCACTGGGCAACCACTGCACAGCTAAGAGTCAACTCCACTTTAAATTCTTTACATGTTCAGTCTGCTACAGAAGCTCAGTGTTCGCTCTGACATATTAGTTCGGTTCAGTTTGTCCTGGACTTCTTCCCTCTTTTTAAAAGCATGCGAACCAGTTCTAGTAGATCTCCAAAATCTGGTTTAGAATTTTGAATGAGCGTTACGTAGACGCTTATCCTTTAAGATAGAGAGGAACTTTGAACAAAAGGCTTTTCTGGGCTTGTGTTTCAGGGACGGGAATCCGCTCGGAGAGTGAGACGGAGGACACGGCCACCAGCCCAGTGGCCTCCACAGCCCCCGCCCCCCCCACCGCCCAGCACCGGGACGACTACGGCAAAGGGGTCATCTTCTACCTGAGGGACAAAGTGGTGGTCGGTATTATCCTGTGGAACGTGTTCAACCGAATGCCCATCGCAAGAAAGGTAAGCAGTGCTACTTTACTTTGTGCATTTCAAAGGAGCAAGTTTCAAATGTGGCCTCTTAACTTTTTGTGCCGTGTTCTGCAGATAATCAAGGACGGAGAAGAACACGCAGATCTAAACGAAGTGGCCAAACTGTTTAACATCCATGAGGATTAGGATCCAGCGGAGGCTGAAGCTCAGGGGAGCGAGTTAGGCTTCGCGTGAAGACTGAACTCTGGCACTGATTGCCACATCCATTCAGAAACAAGTGCTCGTGCAAACCAAATGGGAGGTTCATTGTAAATTATGTCGCTGAAATATTTTCATATTTGTATCTGCCGCGCTGTTTGTTCTCGTTTTATTTCTTCAAAGGGTACCGTTGGACTTCCCTCCACCTGTGTGATTGTCACTCATCCCACCCCCCCTCCCCCCCCCTTCCACCAGGCTGAAACGCGTCCCTCTGTGTGATCACAGCAGCTCGTTTCAAAGAAGAGCTGCAATAAAAGATATTTTTAAATCTGAGCCAACCCTTCATTTTCGCTCCGACTCTGAGCTGGCAGCAGATAAGTTGACCCGCGTTCGGAAAAGTGATTGTTTTGATAGTTGTTAAAGACAAATGTGTGCGCCGGAGCATCTGTCCGGAGGCGTTTCAATCAGTGTGGAAGACTTACTGTGGACACACATGCAACTTCCAGCGTTTCAGCTTCAAAACTGTGAGGTAGCAGTGATCTTCTGCCAACACTTATTGGTGGTTTAAAAGGGGATGAGTGTCCATGTGAAGAGACCACCTGATAAGCGTATTTTAGAAGTGAGTAAATCCAACAGACACTCCCATAAAACATCACTGAAATGACTTTGGCCTACTTAACCCGTCGGGGGTGGGGTGGGTTAAAAAGAGCAGGGATGCAGAAGTGTTGTTTTTTTTCTTTTGTTGTCTTTTTCTTTTCCTCACTTAGGGGGCTTCTTGTTATTATGATGGCTCTCATGTCATATTTCCTCTCACGTTCCTGATCTCATTTGACACCGTGGTCTCCAGAGCAAAGTGTGGAAGAGGCTTTCAAGTGTGAGGCAAACACGTGCAGCCATAACGTCCCATCGCGTCCTCTGACATTAATTTTACATGAGTAAATGGCTGAACTGCCGCCTCCTCTGTATGGAGGAATAAACATGAGCTTTCACATTTGTATTTAAATTGGTCTGGGGATTTAAAGACACGATAATTACATCCGAAAAAATCTGACAGAAAAGCTAAAGATAAATAACTTCTAAATGGGAACTGGCACTAAAAGAGATGTTACATATGAATTTGATGTCTTTTTGGTTTGAAAATCAATTCCAACCCGGTTTTGTAGGTCTGTACATAATGAATTCTACATAAAAGGGTCAAATTAATGTCAAGATTGGTAACTTTGAGTAATGACAGTTTACTCCTCAGTTGACACTGACTCAAGTCTACAGATTTGTGTTCAAGTAAAGCGAGATCACCCAGAAATTTAAAACAGATTTTTGAACTCTTATATCTACAAAATGATTTTGAAATTTAATTAACTTTATTTATTTTAGAAGAGCAGCATCACAAACATTAAGAATCCGGTTTTCATAAAGAGCCGCGTGTGCTTCAGGGGGTGTACTGTCTCTTTAAATAGTCTTGCAGTAGTTCCTTCAGCATTCATATGCTCTAAAAAAAAAAAAAAGAAAAAAGAGATCAAGCTTGAATTCATCTACACAAACACAGACTGAAAAAAAAAAAAAAAAAGAGCCCTCCCTGGGATTGTGAATTATACAGCAGCAGCTTCCTGTATTTTACACCTGACCACAGAGAGGAAGGCTCATCTGAGCCAAGACAGCCCGAGAGCAACAAGAACTTCCCCGCTCCTCTGCTTTTTTTTTTTTTTTTAAATTAAAATTTCAGCTCATCGTCTCTCCTCATCTGCTGTGACCGCCGACTGAGAATGCTGCTGCCCGACTTGCTCTGGCTGTCTATTTCTTTAGTATTTTTTCTACAAGTCAGGTAAGAAACAACCTGAAGTTTGGAGTCTCATCCTCCACTTGAATTTAATGTAATTTGTACGATACATATTCATTCGATGCACGCTCTGTATTTAATAGGATTTGACACTTCTGGTCGTAAATAATGATGCAATAGGAGAGGAGCTGAGAGATGAGTGCTTCTCAAACTAAGAGGCTTGTCAACATCTCTGTTGTCTTATCATAAGAGGTGTCGAGAGTTAATATTTTATGAAATATGATTGAAAAAAATAACTGTCAAATCAAATATTTTGTCCTGCGCGTAAGATGATTGTAGACAAATAGAGTAGCTTCATGAGTATTTCAGTCTATCAAATGAGTCTTTTTCTTTTGTGAACAACTTTTTTTATTATTTTAAAGAGACACAGATACAGTAGTCCGATAAAGGTAAAAGGGTATATTAACAAATGAGTCTTTAATGCTTAGAAATAGTTTTATGCATCTTATTCCTGCACAGTGAAATAAGGGGAACACAGGGAAGTACAAAATGCATGAAGTCACTGTTCCGGCTGACATTTTTGGGGTGACTGTAGCAGGTGTTTGCACCTTTTTTTAAGTTAAACTGGGGATGTTACATGTTGAACGAGACAGAATAAAAAAACACTCATCAGTTGGTCTGGCAGGTCTGTGCTCTGTAAGGAGATGAAGTTCCCCAGCAGGGCCCCCAAGGCCCCCTCCCCGTCCGACTTTCTGGACAAACTGATGGGACGGACCTCTGGCTACGACGCCCGCATCCGGCCGAATTTCAAAGGTGAGCCACTTGTGGTACCTCCACTGCCTGGAGAGGTTGCGAGCATGTGCCGCCCAATTAGCATCCGAGCAGCCAAGTATCACAAATCCTTCACAGATGGGCCAGAAAAGGGGAAAAGCCGTAAGCTAAGATTTTTTCGCACACATTATTTTTATTCTTTATTCTTCTTTTTTTTGTCACGTCCTGTTCCTGTTTTTCTGTTGACCCACAGCCGTGGGTTATGATTTCATTTACTTCTCTATCAGATTTTATTCTGACTGAAATGTGCAGTCACCCTTGCATGTTACCCACAGGCCTATTTCAGTCCAATCTTGATCACCGCTTGTGAGTGAAGCCAGTAGATTCTCTCTGACACACTTCACCCTCAGCCTCTGGGGTCGCATTTCATATTTATTTCATACTTGCTCCACATCCTTGTCAGTGCATGCCGGGAAAATCCCGAGCAATTATCTAAAAATACACTAATGTGACTAAAGCAGAATCAATAAATGATTGCGTCTTGAAATGAGACAATAAAACATTTAAACCTTGTGTGGCCGACAGATGGACGCCTCTAATGGGAGCGTACTGAAAACGACAAGGCGATTTCATGCTGCTTGTCCCGAATGTGTGTGTTTGTCAGGATTTAACATGACTCCTTATGGAGGAAACAAGTAGATGTTGCTTCGTTGCAAAGCTCCGCTTCTCTCAGCACTTTGTGTTGTCTACTTAACAAAAATCACGTGTGGTATTAAAGCAACGCGTTTTACTCTGATGTCTGATGACTGTGTGCTTCTGTTAGGTCCCCCTGTCAACGTCACCTGCAACATCTTCATCAACAGCTTTGGATCCATCACCGAAACGACCATGGTGAGCAGCTTCTGTATTACTCACCCGTCTCAGAAAGTTCAGAGATAAACAACACAGATGCTGTAGATCGCTTTGAATGTGTAGACTTCAAGGGAGTGCAGACACAACCCAAAAAACAAAGATATTAGGTTCTCTATGGTAGAGTCGTGTAGATGAACGTGTTCCTCTTTGCCTACCTTGGCATTAGTAGTGTCTTTGGAATGTGGTGAAGTTTAAAATAAAATATTAGCCATTTTTCACTTAGAACAGACCAACAGAGAATGTAATCCGATGTTTTTAGTCAGTTATAACATTACCAAGTGTGGGTTTCATGTGAGAATATCTGAGGTTGGTGTTGTCAGACTCGTTTACCACTCAAAATACTCGCAATCCCCTGTAGAGCACAAACCCAACTGCTCCACTGACCCCCGTCACAAAAGAGAAGAATATTGTTTCAGCAGTGATGAAAAGATGTATTTAGATCTGAAAGACGTGTGGTGACAGTATGCCAGAAGCCCTGCCTTCAGTATTCTTCAGTAAACGAACGATGAGGCCTAACTTGTTCCCCTGAGCCTGAGTTAACGTAAAAACGAACATTAAAGTGTCCAAAATGAACATACTCAGGACTAAACTGCAGATATATGGAATTTGTTTTGCATGAAGAATCGCACTTTAATAAAAGTATGAATCAAAGTTCCAGCAATTATTTTTGGCTAATTTTTCAAAATATGTTTTTAGAAAAGCTTGTTTTTGGTATCAACTGTTTAAAATAGTAATTTGTGTCCATTCAGTTTTTATAGAGGAGGAGAAAAAAATCACGCTATATCACTGAGAAGAAATGTAGTGGAATTGTAAAGCAGAATAAATCACAAATCCTCAAATCATATTACCTCCTTCCATCTATCTTCAATTTGTACTTACTGTAATCTAATTCCGGGTCATGGAGGGGTTGGAGTTTATCCCAAGCAGAGACAAACGTAACAAACAACCGTTCACGCTCACCCACAGAGATGATTTAGTATAAATGATTAATTCCACAGCACGTGTTTGGATGGTGGAGCGAGGACAGTGTGCCAGAGTATTCTCCAAAGAACATGCAAAGGCCACATATAAATGCTGAAAACCAGTAAATCAGACGACGAATCCCCCCCGCTGTGAGGAAAACGACTAATAGTCCAACACTCTAATCTTCCATTTGCAGACATCTTTGTGATGTTGAAGTTTACAGACCTGATCCAGACCATCTATAATATAATGGTTACAATTTAATGTGATCTACACAATTTTATTTGATCATTTAAATCTGTTTAAATGGATTTTTGTCTTTACAAATGTAGTGGAAAAACAGCTTGGCTTTTGAAAAGCTGGTTCAGTTACATCATGGTGTGTTGATTCATAAGGCTATCGTACACAGACCTGATTAGGGAAATAAAAAATGCATTTTAAACTACGGCTGAGACCCGTCTGGTTTAGCTTGTTCTGCATATTTGAGTCATAACGAGGGGGTTCATGGTCCCTAATGCGATGCATCTGACTTTCTTGCATAATAAGACACATTTGCCCCCATGGAGCCTTGTCTGTGTTATCTGGACTTTCCAGGTATTTATAGCTAAACACCATCTTGTCTGGTTTAACATGGAATCCCAGTTACGATTTTTGTAGAAATAGTAGTAGTATCTAATAGTTGAAATTTGTATTGCTCAGCGTGGGAAGTCTAAAACCATCAATATTTAATTGAGGGAATTGTAAGTAGAGTTTGCGGTTGTTGAATCCTAAATACATCCCTCTAGAAAGTATGACGAATTTGTGAAAATACAAATAAATCTTTGTGGCTCCACTGTGTGTCCATGACCACAGGACTACCGGCTAAACGTGTTCCTGCGGCAGCAGTGGAACGACCCCCGCCTGGCATATAAGGAGTATCCAGACGACTCTTTGGACCTGGACCCCTCTATGCTGGACTCCATTTGGAAACCTGACCTGTTCTTCGCTAATGAAAAGGGAGCCAACTTCCACGAGGTCACAACAGACAACAAACTGCTCCGGATCTTCCAGAACGGCAACGTCCTCTACAGCATCAGGTGATTCAGTTCAGAGTGTGAATCTGGGTGAATAATTCATGCTCCTATTTCAGACATTGCAAATATTTTATCAGACCGGGCTGTGAATGGGAGAGTCCGAACCTCCGGGCGGGGTGTGCGGCCCACTACACGCTTGTCTCACTCCAGTTCAGCTCAGCTGTAATTGCGTTGTCCAGCACACGCCGCAAACATGTTAATGTTAAACCGTAACTGCGGGCTACGACAAATCAGGTCAGTAATGTGCCGCTAAAGCAGTGGTTAACCGTAGCGTGATGGTACAATTATAACGAGAGGATCAGAAACAGGAGGCAGTGTCAAAAGCTCCATTAGCACCTCTGTGTGACATATATGGACCAATCATTTGCTCTGCTGGTTTTTTAACTTTAAATGACCTCAGAGAACAAACCCAACAGCACAAACAGAATAAATTGCCATGAAAAATAATAAGGAATTACTCTGATCGTGTCTATATCTTTGCTAATTCACATATGTGAAGGCGGTATTCCTGGATTAAACCAAAAAGGATATTTTTTTCCCGTAATAGTTCAACAGCGTTAAAAGGCTTCATTTTATCCTTGATTGAATATTAAAAAGGAATTTAGTCCAAAGTCTTCATGAAGTTTGTGACAGCTATGCAAATGCAGTATCATCACGAAATGTAATATATACTAAATAGTAGAGTGGTTTTTTTTTGTCATTTTGATGGATTCTGACGTCATTTGGGATTTTTTTAACTGATGGCGGTTTGTTTTCCGTCCATCTCCCATCATACTGCATCATGAGGGATGGCATGTTGTGTGTCAGCTCTAGTCAGTCCCTGGATGGGGTGCAGTGGAACAGAAAGATGAAAAGAACGACAGGTGCCAAGATGATTTGAGCTGCTTGATGTGACTTTAGCGTAAAGAGTCTGAGTGACATCGGAGTAAGACTTTCTGCCGCAGGATTTGGAGGTGGTGGTGGGCTGAGTCCTTACACCCCTTTCGGTCCCTCCCGGGTTCGGATCTGCAACTTTTTGTCATGTACATCATTTTAACATCTCGATTACTCTGTTTTCCAGGCTGACCCTTGTCCTCTCTTGCCCCATGGACCTTAAAAACTTCCCCATGGACAGCCAGACTTGTACAATGCAACTTGAAAGTTGTGAGTTTCCCCCTTTCCAGGCACGCCATTGACATGTTCTCTGCTAGACTCGTAGCTCAGTTTACGCCTTCTCTCCGTCTCCTAGTCGGCTACACCATGAACGACCTCATTTTCGAGTGGCTGGACGTTGGAGCGGTGCAGGTGGCCGATGACCTGATGCTCCCTCAGTTTGTGCTCAAAGAGGAGAAAGGTCTTGGTTACTGCACCAAGTTCTACAACACAGGTATAATATCATGTATTTTTAATATGGGGACTGTCTGGTCTACACCTCTGTAGGCCTCATCAATCCAGTTCTTCATCTTGACCCTCTAACTTATTTTACGGTTAGGTAAATTTACCTGCATTGAGGTGAAATTCTACCTGGAGCGTCAGATGGGCTACTACCTGATCCAGATGTACATCCCCAGCCTACTCACCGTCATCCTGTCCTGGGTTTCGTTCTGGATCAACATGGACGCGGCCCCGGCCCGAGTGGGGCTGGGCATCACCACCGTGCTCACCATGACGACCCAGAGCTCCGGCTCCAGGGCCTCCCTGCCAAAGGTCAGGCGTCTGATGGGACGTTTTACAGGATTCTGACCAGTAACCATACTTTATCGTTAACTCTTTTAAAGCCATCTGACCGAATGTGTGCATCTTTACTGAAGAAGTGGAAGTGTTGGATGGTTTTTGTTCGAATTTGATTGATCTAATCGGTTTGGTTTGACTAGATAATTTTACATTTACATTTTACATTTTTACATTTACATTTCAGCCTTTAAAGGCGTGTAACTAAATTTATAATTTGGGTTCAGGCAGATCTTTTTCAACACCAATGAATCGGCTTTATACCACCCAGTGCTACTTTTTGACTAAATTTATTCTAATCTACACAAACCAAAGTGAGTGTACCATTTTGAATTTAGCTTTCACACGCTAATTGTGAATAAGGTACTTTTTTTAAAGGTGCCTTGTGGTCTTGAGAATCAATCAAATGGTAGACCTTTATGCACAGTGGTTGGTTTAAATCCCAATCTGCCTTAGTTCTGTATACACATCTCTGCTACAACACTTTCAGGCCACTGTGTACTTTTTTATAGGCCTATTTTATTTAATTCTTTGCCTGCTCTTCTGGTTCAGCTGTAATAACATGACTCCTTCAGTATTTTGGTCTCATTTCATGTCAATCTGCACTCTGTGGGGGCATCTTGAGGTGTAAACGATACACTAAACTTTAACCCTATTGCTCTGGTGTGGTAATTTGTCACATCATTTTATTTTAAATGAGATAGACGAGAAAGGGGACTAGTGAGAGTGGGGGGAGAAGTGCAGCAGGGGGCCCCGGGCTGGGACTTGAACTCCAGCCAGCTGCATCAAGGAATGATGGTCTCTGTATTTGGAGAGCCAGTTTAACCAGTTGAGCTATAAATAAAACGGCTACAGGAACAGTTAGGAACACTGCTCATCTTTTTACAATGCATGGTAGTGCTAGGACAAACTGAATTCTCCAACATTCACATGAATGTTCCTTTGACATGTCAAATAAAAATTAAAAAAACTGGTCAGAGAGTAGAGAGATCCCTTTTCCACAGTGGCAGCTTCCACTGGAGGAACTGGAGGGATCCTTCAATAAAAGCTTAAGAAGGGCTCAGAAAAGATAAGAGAGATGTTGAGCTGCTCTTCGATCCAGCAAACTCCCCAAATAAAGATTAAATGGAATCTGTTGGAGGCAAAACCACCACCCACAGCCCACAGAGCCCAGAAGATCTTTTACAAACGTCCTGTTGCCTGAATGATTTTGTTAGTGGAGCCCAAAGAGTTTAATAGTCATGAAATCATATGTCTGATTTTTGCATGTGTGCCTGTTTTTCCAAGTATATGATAATTATTAGTGCTTTGATCATTGGGGTATTAGCAAAAACATGCTTCTCTGGCCACAGATTCTTAAATACAATCAGAAGAAGGTGCCATTTTAACTTTGCCCCAACCAGGTTCCTCTGCTCCTGATGCTAACTGAAACATCCATTTTCCCTGGTTTGGCAGGTGTCATACGTCAAAGCCATCGACATCTGGATGGCCGTGTGTCTCCTCTTTGTGTTCGCTGCCCTGCTGGAGTACGCGGCCGTTAACTTCGTCTCCCGCCAGCACAAGGAATTCTTCCGACTGAGGAGGAAGCTCAAAGAGCAGCAGCGGCACAGAACTGTGAGTGCAGCCCGCCCACTCTGCCCCTCGGGCAGCTGTCACCTGCTATTCTCTACGCCTAGCTATGCTGGAGCCACAGTCCAGCAGCCTGCTGTCCCACTGCCAGCGAAGGCACGCAGCACTGACCTGTACTTAATTCAAGTTACCTCATTTCACCGTCCTCAGAATGTTCTCAACGTCTTGCCGCCTCACTCTGGATAAACAAAATAGGGCAAAACCATCTTTAAATAGAAATAACTTCTTAGGATAAGTGGCAAAACAGCTACATCGGGGGCTCATGATACATTTTTTAACATGTGTAACACAAAACAAAAGGCTTTTGCTTCAGACATATTTAATGCAGCACGGTCTGTCGTGAAGGATTCAGTCAGAGCCGTTTGTTTACTGATTCGGTTCATGTGTCTTTACTATCAGCAGGGAAGCAGTGATAGCAAAGGGAAAGGAAGCAGCACGCCAGGAAACAGCGCGGCGCCCGGGAACGCCGCCAGGAGGTGCAGCGCCTGCGCCCGGGTGGGTGTCTGTGTCCCAGTCTGTGTCCCAGTCTGTGTCCCAGTCTGTGTCCCAGTCTGTGTC